GCGCAACCTCGCAACAACATGAAACCATGGCGTGGCGGGCTGCAGTGGCAACCAGACTCAGGGCCGTTTCCAGGCACGAAACAACCCCAGGAAGAGCCGTGGCAGCATGACCAGCACCTGTCAGCTCCACACTGATCCAAAGTGACCCGATACTCGGACTCACCTTGCACCCACAACTATCAAGAATCTTAAGAGCCCGATAACTTCAACGGCTACTGCTTGAAAGCCCGGGCACTCGTGGGTCCATGTCTTGTTCGGGAGCTGGTCGCAGGCTCGCTCGGAAATCGTGCACTCGCAGGCATGGCTTGGTGTGTCGAAGCACCCCCAGGAATATTGCTTCTGGCATTGAGGATGCTGCTCGTTGGTCACCGCATCGCAGGACCGGCACCCATCCGTCCAGGTTCCTTGCCGCGCATGGCACTGCGCTTCTGTCACTGTGCAGTCACACTGGTGAGTCTCCACGTCGTAACATCCCGTGCCGGCTTCTGCCACGAAACCGCAGAGGAGCACCACCAAGGGGATCATCAGCGCCATAGGCAAGGTGGCTGTGGGTGCAGAAAGCAAGAAACCCTGAAAACCAGCTGGAGCAAAATGCCTCGCCACACTCCTGATGTTGAGTTGAGGGAGGGCGAGTTCATGCTCACCTGATCTGGAGGCCACAACATGTAACGTGGCGCTGGAGAAGCGTCTTCAAAAAACCCTGCTTGTATATCTAGCCTTTGGGGTCTGCTTTCGGGCCCTTCCACCACTGTGTTTGTGATGATGAACCAAATCCTCCAACAAATCCTGCACCTCAACTTTCAGCAGTTGGTGAAGTCAGTGCCTTCTTTGCAGGAGTTAATCCATTAAGGGCATCACTGCCACATCTCGGATGTTCACGCACAGGTGTCTCAGCTGGACTATTCCGATTTGTAAAAAAGACTAACCTCGGGGGGGATCATGCCCCGCATTGTTGTTCACAGAAGATGGATGTCAAGGGATGGCTTCTAAACTGTTGCAGGCAGCTCCTGGCTGGAAGGCTGGAGGAACTGCGCAGATTGGTAAGTGAAAGTAAGCGGTGTATGGTGGAATACAGCAGCTTTCTCCACGCCTTTCCTTGAAAGGGATGCCTGGCATGGCGCTGGTCGCTTTTCCTCTCCAACGCTCTTTCATATCTTTGGAGGAGCTATGTTGGGCAGCTTCAGCGTGCTCAACTAAATGTTTCCATACCCACCAGCAAGCTGAAAGTACCCCAGCAGATAGGCCCTGGGGTGCTGCAGACTTTTTCTCCCCGCGGCGTCTCTCAAGTTCAAAAAAGTGTTCTGCTTTTTTGAAATGGCTCTGAACTCATCCGAGAACCGCATGCCACTTTCAAACAGCTTTACAAGTCCAGAACTTGGGCGCCCGGCTTCGGTGCAGTAGTGTATTCTGAACGGAGCATCTCTT